TGATTCATTGATTACTTTTAAAAAACAGCTAAAAACTTATCTTTTTAAAATTGCTTTTTGTTAACTTTGTTTGTTTTTTGCCTTTTAATCTGTTATATCTGTAAAGCACTTTGTGATGTCTATCTAGAAATGTGCTATATAAATAAAATTTTACTTACTTACTTACTTTGTTTTACTGAATGAATGAAGTTCTCTCAGTGTCTCAAGGTTTAGCAGGAAAGGAAAAGATTTTGTATCTAGTGTAAGTGGTTCATTGTGTTTATATCACTTACATTGCTGTCATTGTGATGGGCCGGATGGATGGATCTCCAGCAGTGCTGTTAGACCAGGTCTTGGTTCCTAGATTAAAAATACCCAAAAAGAGAAATGAAAAATTGTCAAAGAACAATTTATTTGTTAAAAGTTTACTCAGAAACTAGTTTACCCCTCCAGTTTCTGAGTAGACGAGCTGCGCCGCATCCAGCAGTACCTAGTGAAGAGCTCAGTGTGTTTCCCTGCTCCTGTCCAGCTTCTGTATTGGACTTTTGTATTCTGTTAGCGACACAACATTAAAGCAAGTTTGGAGTTAATTGCTGCCTTCCAAATCTTAAATCTGGGTCCAAATCCTGTCTGTCACACAGCCTGTTATGACAGAAACAACAGCGTAGCTGTCTCTCTGAGTTGAATCCTTTTTGATAAAACTTTATTTTTCACAATTTACTCCATTTGGTCTTTCCTTTTCCCAGTTATAATATTGTTGCTTCTCTCATCCCCTAACCCTTATTTGTGGCTATAGGGATTTCTAATTTAAACATTTTAATGACTTAATTTCTTGTCATGCAGCACTTTAGGTGCTGAAGACTGTTATGGTCCAATACAAATGCCGGCAAAGGGGAGCCAGGATGTCAGGTCAGGGGGATGATATCATCACCCCCACTCTTGGGTACCATATGCCAAAAATGATGGGTGTGTTGAAGGCACGAAGTGCAAGAGCAGCTGACCTGAGAGATAGGATCATGGCTAAGCTGGAAACCTGGACCCTCCTTGGCCAATTACCAAGACTACGTGAAGTACCCTCTGAAAGTCTACTAGAAGACATTGAGGATTATGGCCAATCCCTACTGCTTGCTACACTTGCTGCCATTGTGATAGGGTAGTAAAGGGATCTATTAGACCTAAGAAAAACTGCCAAGCAAAGACTTGCAGACTGGGTCAGTCACTTAAACAGGTATTCTAGAGAGATAGAAGGCAGGAGAATAAACAGATTAATCTCTAGCCATTAACCCATCAAAGGTGTATTCTCAGTGACAGGGGAACAATATGAGAACAGCCCGACTAAAGCTGGAGACAGAGCAATATGGGAGACAAATAGTGATGGGACATCTGTGCCTGGAAGTCCTATGACTCGATTCCCCACACCTGGATCCTGAAATGCCTAGAATTGTACAAGATCAACAGTATCCTAAGAGCCTACATCAGGAACTCAGTTGGGATGTGGCATATAACACACACACGCATATATATTTATAAAATCCCCCTCTAGTCTCTACTGGCACTCTATCCTTCAAGCTCGGGTCCTCTACCAGAGGCCTGGGAGCTTGAGGGTCCTGCAGTATCTTAGCTGTTCCCAGGACTGCGCTCTTCTGGACAGAGATCTCCGATGTTATTCCCGGGATCTGCTGGAGCCACTCGCCTAGCTTGGGAGTTCCCGCACCTAGTGCTCCGATTACCACGGGGACCACCGTTACCTTCACCCTCCACATCCTCTCGAGCTCTTCTCTGAGCCCTTGGTATTTCTCCAGCTTCTCGTGTTCCTTCTTCCTGATATTGCTGTCATTGGGAACCGCTACATCGATCACTACGGCCGTCTTCTTCTGTTTGTCTACCACCACTATGTCCGGTTGGTTAGCCACCACCATTTTGTCCGTCTGTATCTGGAAGTCCCACAGGATCTTAGCTCGGTCATTCTCCACCACCCTTGGGGGCATCTCCCATTTTGACCTCGGGACTTCCAGGTTATACTCGGCACAGATGTTCCTGTACACTATGCCGGCCACTTGGTTATGGCGTTCCATGTATGCCTTGCCTGCTAGCATCTTGCACCCTTATGTGCTGGATTGTCTCTGGGGCATCTTTACACAGCCTGCACCTGGGGTCTTGCCTGGTGCCTCGATGGATCTTGTGCACAGAGCCACCAGAATCAGTGAGCTTTCAGCCGACAGCGTGTCTTTGTACGTGCCGTCGGGTGAGAAAGCCAACATCTCACTGATTCTGATGCGTTGGGTCCGCGCTTTGGGTTTACGTCTTTCTTTGCACTCGATTCTGAAGCTGCAGGTTTTGTCTCTCTCCAACAAAATTAATTGAACCAGGAGGAAAAGAAGATCCAAACTACGCTTCACATTTCGCTTCACATAAACATCGTCATGAATTCTCTCTTACTTTTGCTCTTTTGCTTCCACCACAATAAAATCGCCATTCATGCAGATCTCTCTCTCTCTCTCAGTGTACTTAAAGAATAATTTCCCTTCTAAAAATCTGTTTTCTGCATTATTCACTTGCATATTACCCACCAGTCCACCGTTGTTTACAGCGCTGTTGGCCAGGTTGTTTGTTTCATTTTTTTTTTAACTTAAATGACTTCCGATAAGAAAGTTTACTTTCTCCTGTTCAAACATGAAGAAATTTAAACTTTTTAAAATATGCCAAATTGCAAAATGCTTAGCTGTGTCTCTAATAAAACCTCTGTAACATTGTTCTGCTTCAACCCAGCAGCATCAGGTAATGTTCAGATGTTGATTCATGTTTTTCTTCCGTTTTTGTTTTACTGCAGAATATTTTTGAGGTCATCTGCTATAAAAACACAGGCCAGGAAAATCTCCTTCATGTTTTTCTGTGTTTTTGTCATGTCTGTGTGTAGGTAGGCAGGAAGAGAGGACCCAAAACGCAGGACTCATGGAGGCGGAAGTAACTCAAAGCACACAGCTTTATTGCTGGTATGAAACTGAACAGGAAAAACACTAACTAAACTGGGTGAACAGAATAACTAGACCGGTTGGCAGGCTGGCAAATGGAACTCACAGAGCAAGTGAGGGTGAACAGACGTTAACGACGCGACACTGACACAAAGACACACTGGGCTTAAATACACTGTGGCAGTCATCAAGGAATTAGAGACAGAAGGGGGGCACAGCTGGGAGAAATAAGACCTAACGAGACAGGGAGAGACAGACTTGGCCTACTAAATAATAATCATAATCAAAACAGTATCACTGATAAATCAAATCATAAATCATTATCTAGAAAAACACCAAAGCATGAAAAACAGAAAGCTGGGTCAACATGACCCAGAACCATGACAGTTTTATCCTCATTTACTTTTACACAAAGGCATCTGCTGTGATGCTTACACCTCTAAAGTGTCAGGTTTCTTTTTATAGATATAACAATATGGATATGTACTGATAAGTGATCAGAATTATAATATTTCCGACTGTCTGATACAACACTTCTTCGATTTGAATGAAATCGAATCGAATCGGGACCTTGTGAATCGGAATCAAAATGATTCTAGAAATCAGTGATACCCAGCCCTAATCATTAAGTTCAATTTCAAATCTGATAAAATTCCTAGTAGGTATTTGAAAAAGTATAATGCTAGGAAATCACCAAAATGGAGTAGTAAAATCAAAATGGTGGGCTTCCTGTTTTGGTCATATGTGCTATTCGCTTTTTCATGTTTTATTTAATTTTAATTTCATTTATTTTTAAAATGGTTCTATGTAGCAATAAAACCCATAATTTTGCAGTTTTGGTTTTTTTTGTTTTGTTTTTTATGGATATTTATGGCCTCAAAAAGGCTATGCCTAAATAACTCTATTCCTCTGAGTTTAAGATCTGTGGTCTCAGTAGTCAGTTTTTAAAAAAAACAACTAAAAACTGGTTGACTTTTTGGTTTGTTTCTTTGTGAAGTACTTTGTAAACTTTGTCTTGAAAGTTGCTATATAAATAAAATTTTACCTACCTACTTACTTACTACTACTACAATAACTATTACTAATAATAATAATATTAATAATAATAATGATAAATATAATGATAATAATGATAATAATAATGGAGCAGATACATGGGGGCCTTCACACGTTCAGTCCTCAGGCACTTGGTTATAAACTATAAAAATATATAACCAATTTTAAAGCAAATTAAACACAGACTCCAATGTCCTCACTTTCAGTATTTTCTAAAGATAACGTTTTGTGTTATTAGCTCTATTTGATTTTTGCTATTAAATGATTAATTACAATTATTTAATGAATATAAATATGTTTGCAGTTGTTTGAGTCTAGATCATTTGACTGTAAACTGAAGAGATCTTACCTCTTTTGCGTCTTTCAGGAAGTTGTCTGAAAGAGAAGAGGTAGAAAGAGTTTTATTTTACATGAGGGGAGGGGACAGATGGTAGGCGATCATGTGATTTCATGGAAACTCTAAACAGAATGCCTTCTCCCTCCTGCCAGTATCTGTTTGTTTTCTGTTTACTTATTTTATTAATATAACTGAGCAATTAGCTGTCAGCATGTACTTTTTGTATTTGTTGTAATTATATCATCAGTCTTACTATCATCTTTAAAACATGGAAAATACAATTACATTTATTAAATGTTTAATCATAAAACTGAAAACCTATTTTTCATAAGACAGTGTATAATGGATACATTTACATAGCAGAAATGCAATATACAGGCAGAGACTTCTGTCACGGTCTGGCTGGGGCAGACCGTATGTGTTGCAGAGGAGGACTCAAACGCAGACCAAAACGTGGTATGGGTTA